AACAGACCTATTCCCCACAGAATTAAACACTTTACTACTGTTTAATTCTGTGTGATTGGGAAAGGTTAGGGTTGAAGAGCCTAAAAACTGAAGAAAAAAAAATCTACACAATTATTTTTTTTACTTTGCTGGACTCGAACTGAGCAGGTGGGCGGGTGAGTATGCCCGTGGTGATGGTGAGCCCGGCATTCTTCACTGTGGCCTTGTCGACTGAGCTGACTGAGATGGCTGCGGAGCTCGCTGGCCAGTGACGACCTCTGAGGGTCAGGGGTCGGGTCAGCTGGCACGGGTACCGTCTCTTTCTTCTCCTTGGATTTCGGTCTTGGCTGCTGCTTCCCCACAGATGCCAGTTTCTGCAGAAAAGTTAGAGTTTTTCAGTTGAAATTTCCATTGCTTTACCGTGGCAGCTAGTCATGAGTTGATGTCTGTGTCTGTCACAAAACATGGCTTTGACACAGGAAACAACAGGTCTACAGAACATAACCTACAGATGAGATAATTGGTAGAATTATCTGTCAATGGATTCTACACATCAGGAAGTTCCAAGCTGCTCTTCAATATGCAATGGTATGCAAGCAGAAACATAAAAAATTAGATTTTCCAACCAAATTTGGTATTTGTCTGACCAAAAACAGATGTGGCCAGACATAACCTCCAAAGCCAAAGGATATAAAAGGTAAAAGTCTCCAAAATGAAATCCTGTTGCTTTTATCTGGCTTTTGTGCTACCGGCATGTAAGAGCGACTTCTCATGAAACCTGACAAAAGTAGCCTTCGTTCAAGAAGCACACAGCACAAGGGATGCTTACATTCACAATCAACACACAATAAGACCGGGGCAAGTATTCAAGCCACAAGCACTTTTATGATCTCGTAGACAAGGCGTTTTCCTTTCTGGTAGGGAAATTCTCACACGTAATACATGTACACTGCATGCTGTGGATATTGACCACCAAACATGTAGAATAACTGGCATTGGTTTAGACGATGTGACATCACATGTGCTAACTATAGAAGCTGGTATCACTGAGCTTTCATTTGATAATTGGATAGAAACAGTGTCAACACCTCCGAGTGCACCCGGAATGATGGCAAATTACCATGGAGCAGTTGGGCATGCATGTGCTAGGCGCAGAAATCAAGTACAGGAAGAGACGGCATTTGAATTGTTCATAACCATCCCACATGATACAGCGCCTGAGTGTGCCACACACAAAGGTCATGTTAACACCCTTAACATGAGCAAAGTATGCAAAACATGACTCACATAACTTCAATTAATACACACTGATAAGCTCTGTGACATGGTAGAGGCACTTGTGGCTTCGCCAATGGCACTGTTCTTTTTATATGTTACCAATATCCGGGGTGCCATGCGTGCTTCCATCAAAGGGTCGATCAAAAGCTGATAGTGGCAGAACAAATTGATTGCGTTGGTGTTTGTCCAATCGGCTTTTAGGCCTAATTTAACGCACGGGGATGGATGTTCATTAGTTTATAGAGCAAGGGGCAAGGTGTAAGCATGAAATGCACTTACTCCCATGGCGGATTTCTGGTCGGTTGCCGATTCCTCCTGGTCTCGATTGCAGCCATGTTCTGCAGCTGACGGGCTCCCCGTCTGCAGCTGAGCCCTCAAGGGGTAGCAGGTGCAGGCCCCTTGACCGCTTAGGTACAGGCAGCCTGAGTGGTGCAGCTGGGGGGCGCACGGCACGACGGCCTCATGCATGCAGGAGCGGCGAGGGTGGTGGTGGTGCTGACCATGGTGGTGGTGATGGTGGTGGTGGTGATAACGGGGTAGATGATGAAGCGGGGCCGTGGCCTCCGGAGACAGAGCAGGTGGGGGACTGGCCCGACGGCAGCTGTTGCAGGGTGGGAGTGGCTTGGCTTGGGAAGGAGGTTGGGGCTGGGGGTTCGGGTCGTCAGAGGGCGGCTCTGGTAAGGTCGTATCAGGAATGGTGTCTTGCTGCAGATTACTGGGTGACTGAGTTTCTAGAAAAACAACAAATTACAAGTCCAACAAAATTTCACCAGTGCTTACCACTTCTGTTTATTGACAAAACTTTTTTTTTTGCGGTCAGAGAACTTCAAAATTGGGATAGTCCTGATTCAATCAGAACGGTTGGCAGATATGGTTCTCAACATCTTCTTGATGCATTTCAAAACAAGCAAGTGCCTCCTACATGCACGTTCCTGCGGATCAAGCAAATGTGTGCTTACCACCGTCAGATTCAGTCAGATCCACAATGACTGGAGACAGTGGGCGTTTGTTCCTTCGTCCCTTCACCAGAGGGTGCTTGGCACCTCCACTCATCTTCCTAGTGCGCATGTTATCGGCCGGAGCAGCCCAGCTGTTTCGGAAGAAGTATGAAGAAACTCCCAACTTATTAACCAAGTTCTAATCAATGTCTCTAGCCGGAAGGGTGTCTGAGCCATTTTGGACGCCTTACTTTGTCTGAAAAATGAACCCCCTTTACAATGAGGACATCCATTTGTGGGAAAATTTGTGTTTTCAAATGTTGGCTAAACTACTGCAGACAAGAGGAAAGTTGGCAAATGACTCACCGATCGCCCCTGGAGCCCATGTCCACTGACACCACTTCAACATCATCATCTGCCTCCTCAAGACTTTCTTCCAGTTTGAGATCATCTTGGCAATCATCACTATCCTCATCTGAGTCAGACGACTCCACCAAGTCCACTGTCTCATTATTCTGGGGCCTTGTGATGCCACTGGGACCTGGTAAAGGATCATCATAGGGAGGGATGAAGTCCAGAGCTCCTGACAAGGGTAGGAGTGGATCATCCCATGCCACATCTTGGATGATGGACGGGTTATTAGCCTGGCCAGACCCATCGAATTCGGTGATGCTGACAACATCAATATCTGAATCGGAGTAGTCTCCACAGCTTGGAGCAGGCCCTGTGTCTGTACTGGAGAAGGTCGGAGTCGCAGAGCCGTGGGCGACTGACAGACTGGTGCCCGGACTGGCCCATGGGTCTTCTTGGTCCTCCAGGTCTGAGGAGTCTCTCTCCCTGAGGGTCAGGTCAATGTCCACCAGCTCGGGATCCGCGGGGTCGAAGGTCAAGCAGTGGTGGTTGTTGGACAAGCTGTGGGGCTCTTCAGGATCTTCCCCATCATTGTCTGGAAAGATGTGGCTGCGGGACTCGAAGGCAGAGTTCTCGCTTACGCTGAAGGAGGAGGAACCCGGGCCCGAGTTGCTGTGAAGCCGCTGCTTCTTGTTGGACACCACATTCGGGTGTGGCCTGCGGTACGGCTGGAAGCCCTGACCCTCTGGCGAACTGGGACGGGCGTCGCCTCCCGGAGCTAGCCACGCCCCTGATGGGCTGACAGAATGATTGCTCACTCTCTCCAGATCGGCATCGCCGCTGGCCCTGCCCAACATTCCGTCCCCACCACTACCCAGCATCTTGGGCTTGAAGGGCTTGTAACGCTGCCGGGAGGCCAGGCCTGGTAAAGGCTCGTCTGAAAAGTCGCTGTAGCTCTCGTTTTCCAAGGGTGGCACTGGCGAGTTGCTCACCGACATCATATTGTAATCGCCACTCTCCGATATTAGTACGGGCGAAACGGGGGATGCCGCGGTGGGGGTAGTACCCAGACAAACAACCTCACCGTGCTTCGGCTGGCCCTCTCTGAAGCGGAGGTGACTGGAGCCAGCATCAGAGAACAGCTGGCAGGCCACGGCACTCTCTGCTGCCTGTTCAATTTCTCTTAGGTGCCCTTGCATGAGGACGGACTGGGGTGGACGGACTAGAGGCTCTGAGATGACGGGTGAAATGTCTAGATCTTCATCTTCATTGTGGGGACTACACAGATCCAGACTTTCATCAGTTTCAAGTACACCTGTAAAGTAGTAAAGCTGTTACAACTGGAAGGATCAAATTATTAGTTTTGGCAATAAAGCCGGTGACATTTATGGCTACAATTCACTTACTGTAAAACATGTAAAACAAGTGTCCGCACACAGGAAGGTACCAAAACGGAAGCAAAAAATTCTATGACACATCTGGGGATACATGATATGGTTTCCTATGGAAAAATGGTTTTATTGCCAGTTCTGAGAGGAGGCTAGTCTCTGCATCTCATGGAAGCTTCCCCCTTTTGAAATGTCAGAGTTTACTTCCCTTTCAAAAAGTGCCCCACAGAGCCAAGGATTATGGCCTTTATTCCCCAAAAGTTTGCAAACAGGTAAACGAAAAGCATGTGTTCTCATCTCAGGTCAAGTGGAGCTCTTGAACTCAGTCTTGTAAGACAGGAAGAGATTTCTCACCTGTATCTGACTCCATTACAGCACCCTCTCTGGTATCACTGGTTGAGCATGGACCGGCCTGACTTCCTGGGTCCAGTACCTCACCTCCACTATCTGGCAGGCAGGATGCCACGGCCATGACCGGGTTGTTAGAGTAAAACTCCATGCTGGGGCCAAAGATGCGTTACTATGGGGACACAAAAGGCTACCGGTAGCTGAGATGGAACAGACGCTGATGTTACCTGCCAGTTAATGAGACCTTTAAAAAAAAGAAGAAAGAGTCTGCAGCTTTCACAATTTTTCACACTGATTTCATGAGTGACTGCAATATGCAGAATGGTCGTGGACAAATGTGATATTTGCATGGCACTTCCAGTACTATACATGTACGTGACGTGTGAAGAAAAGACCTGATCATGTTCAGGAAGATGGTGATTGGAGGGTGGTGAATCCAGCATTTTCAGAAACAACTCTGATTCTTTCCGGGGATTCTGCTTAGAATTGATTCCAATTTTCAGCAGCACCAAGGACATGTGCAATGATGTGCCACATGTTGCTACAAGTTATGCGCATACATGTATGTAGAGTGATTAATTAAAGCACTCACTGGAATTCATCATCAAATCTCACTGAAGAAAATAACTGATTTTCTAACAAATAGTTTTGAAACGGATATTAATTTTCACAGTGGCACACGATTTGAAGAAAAACATCCTCAATATCTAAATAATCGTTCTATATTTTTGACATTTTGCAAATGTGACTGAGTTTTAAAATGTATATAAAACACTAATCAGACATGTTTACATACGCATGTACATGTGTGTACATGTACCTTACATGTAATTATTGCTGCAATAAAGTAAAACCTTCAACATATCTATTGTGCAAAATTAGGCAGGTAGGGAGAATCTTTTTGTATTCAACAGTTCAATTAAAGAAAAAAGGATTGAAGAAATCGTTATAAAGGTTCAAAGAATATGTGCATGTAATCACCGTCAATATGAAGCATGAAGGAGTAAGAACTTGGCAATATGTACACAAAGAGTCTTGGGACGCTGAGAAATGACAGTTCAAACCTTGACAATCATTCATATCTTAGTTTTAAAATCTTGAGGCAAATTAAAAGAAAGAGGCAAAATCTGTGCAGGAAATAAATCAGTACATACACCGTACTTGTCCGTGAACTGTATTCCATGGCTGTCTTTACACGCATACGGTGCATGCGAACATGTTTATAGGCATGTCCTTGGCAGTCCCTACAAGTTGATGTATGACATCACCATACAAGTACAATATAAATGCTACACCTGTACAGTACACCCTACATGTAGATTGTACAATGTCAAAGGTGACGAGACTGAAGGTCAGCAGGAAGTTAACAACTACACCTAGGGTAGGGTACCATACGCATCTGACCTTGCAAACAATTTTATGCAGTTCAGAAGCACAGTCAAATAAAACACAGATGGCTTCCATACATGAATGTCACAATTGATGCGGGTTTTTGTCCCCTGAAACCCAATAAAGAAAATGCTTTTCTGTACATGTACATGTACATACATAATGCCACCACAACAATGAAAGTCAACCCAAACTGAAAGTACAGGCAAATGTACAGTAATGAACATGTACATACAAGTACTTACATATGGGTCTTTCTTTTAATATGGGGGCCAATGTGTATTGCAGGGACATCACAATTATCGTGAAAATTTAAAGCAAGACCAGTTTCACTTTCCCGTTTAATTTTCATACATGTATGTATTGTCAATATGTGTTGATATTAGAAAATGTTGATTTACACAATACATGTAAGTGCAAAGGAAAAACCTCATCGTTTCACACTGTGTTTCCGTATTCTGTGTGACATTTTTGATGACCTGTTTCAAAAGAAATTTCATACCACTGGCAAAACAAATAAAACGGTTTCTCTGTTACACGTGAAATGAGTCATAAAGCTCTTTAAACTAAAAACTTCAAATCACTTAATGTTTCTGGCAAAGCTGCACAAGCTAAATGGCTTGCATGCCTATGAGCTGTGCCATATATTTGCTACTCAAACAACTTTGAGTTTAATCAAACGAAACTTTGCAAAACAATTCGAAAATAGCCAAAAAGATAATTTAGGGGGAAAATGTTTGCCCATTTTTATGCCACCTGAAACCCTATCTAGAAAAAAACAACTTGTGATAAGAATAAATGGTATGTATACAAAACAAAATGGGCAACAGTTGAAAAGAAACCTTTACTAACCAAATATGACATGCATAGCATCATCATATTTGGTTTCTCTGTTACACGTCAAATACCGGTAATTTGCAGCACCACTGCACAAATTGATTCTGTACACATCAAGTAGTTATTCAAAGCAAAAATCATTTACATTATTGCATGAATGTTCATGTACGGTATTATCAATTTCATATCAGCAAGTTTTGAATTTGTTTACACAATTTTGAAATTTTGACCACAATGTCACGTTTCGCTCCCTATTTAAAAGAAAGACCCACATACGTGTACATGGACGGTAGTTGGTATAATTAATTTTCATGTTTTCTCACAACAGTTAAGCCTCTGTCAGTACAAATAGATTAACAGACATGGCACATCCACCTGTACAAGGGGTTACCATCAATCAGTAAATATGAAATCATGAATATCTATTTTTATATGCAAGATTAAACATGAACATTTATGTGTGCAAACGAATGAAGGACACACACACAGAATCCATGGTGAAAATGTCAGCTGGATGGTTTCTTCTTTTCTTTTTTTTTTTACAAAGCCGTTACCGAGTTCGGTCAGGAGCTATCCAACACTGTGACTAGGTTCCACAAAATGACTAACCCTCCTACGTCCTGTCTACTGAACTGCCACGGCATTCTTGGCTCGGCACCGGTACATGTACGTGGCAAAAACACATGGGAAGTTTCTTTAATCTAAGAACATGGTTACAATGAGCCTTCATATTACTCATCAAGCTTCAATGAGCATTCACATGCACTATAGGCCTGAAAATAACAAGAAATCTCCAATTTTTTCTTCGGGTGGAATTTTGGTCATTCAATTTTCGACTCAACAGTAATATTCATACTTCATATTCTTGCACTAACACACAATGACAGAACACTCACTCACCAATCCCACTTTGTAGCCAGCTTTGTGGATACAGACACACACTTGACTAACCTCCCACAATCAGCATAATTCATATGGTATGAATAATGTACCGGTACCAATGGAAGAACATCTTTCAGGGAAATACATGTACATGTACCGGTACATGTAAAGCCCAAGATCCATTTTACACGGACTGGTCTTGCAGTGGAACTGGGGGAGTTTTTCAAAGGAAAATGAAGTCCGGGATCTGCAGACTGGTCTAGCTCCTTTTTTTCTGGCTTTACACCACAGCATGCACGTGTATTCCCCCCCCCGCCGCACCCCCCATACATACATACATACATGTACATGTACATGATGTAAGTACATGTATATGGTGTACATGTATTGGTTCGTATCTGCATAACCATGGAGAACCTGCATTGGACTTCAAATATTTTCAACCCTCCAATTGATGTGTACACTGCAGGAACTACATGTAGCCAGCATTGTAGTCATTCTGGGTTGTCCTAATCACATACATGTACATGGAAGACTTTACCGAACCATCTTTCTTCAACCAGTGTCAACTGCACAACCAGAGATTATGCCATGGGCAGTTTCAAAATGGGGGGGCCCACTCTTACATGTACACTTCTGTTCCTAGCCATTTGTTCTTTAACTCAGAACAAAATCACAATCCCAGTGCTTGATGTGACCCAAAGAGAAAGTCACGATAAAAATAGTGTTGCCTATGGTGGCATGCCTTTCAAAATAAAGAATCAGTTGGGTAACTGGAAGCAGATTTAGGGAGGGGCCTAACTGATGGCAAAAAAAACCCAATTCTCCGGATCCAGTCAAACATCGAGACATGTACATGAATGTATTTTATATTCTTGATGTGTGCCTGCCCGAGCAGCGATGATTCACACGACACTCCATTACAAGAATCACTCCTGTTTTCAAAAGCGATGTTCCACTACTGAGAATAACAATGGCAAGGTGATCAGTTGGTGAAGGATTGACAGCTTGTGGCAAAAGATCAACTGAACGTAGTGAGCAATCCACTGCGCACCATCGGTACTCAAGGCACAGGTAAAATTTCCACCAGTTTAAAACACCCTGTTAATCTTCTGCACACATGGCTTGCAGCTTATTGAAGAGTAAAAAATAACGGAATGTTAGTCAGCGGTGCTAAGCTTAGATGGGATCAATGCAAAACAACACGACTCTTCGTGTTACCAAACCCAGACATACATGACATACCGGTACATGTAACGTTAGGCCTTCAAGTCAAAACGTCATGAAAGTTGTCATCTTGAAATTAGGCATCCACCCATGATTACCGTAACAACAGGCCTTACGTCCATGACCGTATAGTTGCCAGGTCAATTACCGGTAGGCCTATACCATCACTGACATTAGGCCTAGGCCCTACACATGCTACATGTAGGCCTACATGTATTGTGTTGAAAACCAATCAGACCATCAGACCTAATACATGAACTTGGTGCAAAGTGAACACGAACCCAAAATTGTGACATCGGATCAAATGTAACGTTAGGCCTAATAATTCATCATGTTTGTGTTGCGAATTTGCAAAAGACAAGCTAAACCCTGGTCCAGGAAAAACATGTAGCCTAGGCCTAGCCCCACTAGTGTGGCACGGACTCTCACTCCCGATCCATCCTTAGCCACACATCCGTATGCGCAATTTCGTGTCGGCGTACTGAACATTTTCGGCACACCCACTTATCATCGTGGGCGCAATTTCTTTTGCATACGAACATGATCCTTGACCTTTCCGCTTTCTAAAAACTATTTATTGAATAATTTCATTCACGTTATTGAGGCATTTCTGGTCATTTTGCCCTTATCCATTCAATCTAACGGGCTCACTCTCACAGTTGCCATCTTTAAAATAAGATCGTTGAACAATACATCACTTGACCCTTCATCGTCTCAACGGCTGTTCCATGTCAAGACATATGTAATATACGGACTGAGCGATAAGATACTACATGTACCAATGGGCTCTTCCAAAACTTTGGCAGCAGTTTAGATGTCTTGACATGGAAGATCCGTCAAGACGATGAGGGGTCAAGTGACGTAATGTTCAACGACCTTATTTTAAAGATGGCGACTGTGAGAGTGAGCCCGTTAGATTGAATGGATAAAGGTAAAAAGACTGGAAAATACCTGAATAACGTGAGTGAAATCATTCAATAAATGGTTTTTAGAAAACGGAAAGGTCAAGGATCATGTTCGTATGCAAAAGAAATTGCGCCCACGATGATAAGTGGGTGCGCCGAAAATGTTCAGAACGCCGACACGAAATTGCGTATACGGATGTGTGGCCAAGGATGGATCAGGAGAGTCCATGCCACACTGTACTAGTGAGTAGTGGGGCTAGCCTAGGCCTAGAAATAGACATTTCGACTCGGGGGAAATGTGGCATTTTTCGTGACGTCAAATTCGCTTTGATTAACTGTAAGTTATTACACATTAATTGTCCATCATATCAACTTTTCAAATATTTCCAAATTTTGTTGTTTCAAAGGAAAAACATGCACAAAATCACAAGTGGTCCATTTCTAACATGTCTAATGTGTTAACAAATTCCAAATAACAAACTTGACGAAATGTGGGCATATCGTAGACAGGATCGATGTATCTTGCCACATTTCCCCAAATGATGGAACACCTTCTACATCAACCTACCTTTCTAGAAGAAAGACAAATCCCATCTTTTCGTGAAAAAACGACACAAGTCGCACAATGGGAAAGGGCCGCAATTTGTGACGAATTCTTCCGTCATCATCTTTCGTTGAATCACAAGAATTATTCCTGTACTGCCACACTACACATATTTCCTGCAGTCTGGAAGCCGAACCACACATGAATTATAAACGTGCATAGAGGCGGGGACCATATACCGTCTGCGGGGCGCGCGAGTAATTTTTTGTTTATGCAATCAAAAGAGGGCGGTATATACATTTTATGGACTGAAAAAAAAAGGGATCGAGCGTCATAAAAGATAAAATAATCCAAGAACTTAAAGGCTAGCCATAAATTAAGTTCACCATGTTTGCTGTTACTTTCTTCCAAAAATGTTCCAAGGACGCAGAGGGGGCATTAAGTACAGTAGCACATAGCTAAGGGTCGGGAGGGGGGGCAAGGATGTCCCAAACCCAACCCACCACCTTCCCCGGAAAATTGGAATGCGGGGCGGATGCGGGATGGCGGTCATCGCGCGCACCGTCGGCAGATGCATGTACAGTGTATGGCTAAATTGGGGTTGTGTATCTTATTACTTCAGTATTTTTTAACAGTGTATATAGCTAAAGTTGAGTAATCTTTCGGTGGTACTCTATTTTCATTTACCCATTTACAGTAGTTCCTTTAGTTGGTTGAAGTATATTTCGATTTGTGTAGTAGCAAAATCCCTAATGATCTTTTCGTTTTTGTTCATTCTTTAAACTCTGTATGTCTCTGCCAGAAAGCAATCTTTTGAGTAATTAGCCAAATAGCCAGCCAGTAATTCCAACTAACTGAGTTTATGACCAGGCTCCATCCAGAAACCAGGCAGCCCCGGCCAGTCAGGCCGGCCAGCCAGCCGTTCATCCTGTTGCCAGCCCCTAGCTACCAACCCAACCAGCCGCCGCGGCCTGCCGTCCTGCCTACAAAGCCCGTCAGCCAGACAATAGCAGCAAACTGAAAGCAAGCTACATGTATTGCCATACTCCACCCAGAAACCAGGCAGTCACAGCCTGCCAGACAACAGCATTAACATCAACTTGCCATCATCCAGGGCCAGCTAGCTATCACTCAATGGGGCAGCCCGCACAGCCAACTGATCAGCTGACCTGTAGCCAGGCAGCCCAGCCAATCACTGCAGAAGCTTGCTACAGCAACGTATCCAGCCGGTACTTGAACCAGCCATGCGTACCAGACTGCAAGTCAGTCAGCCAGCCAATGGCAGAGATGAGATTGATCAATAAATAGCTAAAAACAGCGGAGAAAACACAGAACTAAACTGTGAAAACCTCCAATACCTTTGTATACAGCTAGTGAGGAAAACAAAGCTGAAATCCAAAACAAAAAAGCTGAAATCAATTAAAAAGCTGCCAAATCTCACCCCCGCAATGGAAAGCAAGTCAGCTCACAAACCAAATTGTTCAAAGAAATTAAATGGAGTCCACAAATTAAGTTGCCTGGACAAAATACATAGGTTTATTTAGTGTATAATAAATTGACAATTTCTGTACAAACTTGAAGTAGCCAGCAATCCGTTACCACAATAAGATTAATACGTATACTTACTTTCATAGTACTAATTGCTTTGACAACTTAACACCACAGATACATATTCAGTACTGCCATAAAGATAGACCAAGCGATAGAAAAGAGAAAAAAAGCAGTCTACTACCTGGACTTTGAATATTTCTGTGGGTGGCATACTGAACGACAACTATTTGGCTCAAATTTACATCTGAAATAAACAACTGGGTGGGATTAATCACATGAACTCAATATGATACATATCATGACAAGGCACATGCTACGATAATTTTATCAAGAGTCATTAATTTGTGATGCTTTTTGTGATGGTTGCCACCTGGTATTAAGATGACTTTGTAGCCTACTTTTTGCCAAAATTATGGTCACTGAAAGTTTTCTACAGTTGATTTTTGCAACTGTTGAGATGCCTATTGTAAGACCAAACAAAACTGTTCCCTACTCGGGAAAGAATTACTAACTGCCCGCCACCATTTTAAATAGCAGAGCAACCCACATGTACAAGCAATTTGTTTTATTATTAGATCTAATTCTAATTCTTACAAATATTCAAACTCTTTGGTCACAACTGATGGTCCTAGGTAAAATGTTGAAAGCTTTAAGCGGCAACTCAAAGACAAATGAGCACTATTCTGAGGTCTTATCTAACGCATGTATTAATGCGGACAAGGGTCCAAAACCACCTTTTCTGGATGGGGGGTGAAGACTTGTGGGTGAGGGAGGTAATGGACGCATTTTCTCTAATGGCCCTTCTGAGAGGTGAGGCTACATTTTGGGGCTCTTCGCATGCTCTTTAGAAAGAACGAAAATGAAATACACCTCACGTTTTGCCCTACGAGGAGAATATTTTCACTTAAAAAGTTTTTTTTTCTGAACACTTGTTTGTACGTTTAAGGTTCTTAGTTCCACACATGTGTTGGATCTATTGAAAGGCAAACATGCAACACGCACCAGCTGTTTTGTAAATGCTGAACATTCTGTAAGCAGTTCATGTACACACAAATCCAACTTCTTCACGTGTACACAAATCAATCCTACATTTTTTTAATCCAAACATGAACATCAGAATACTCAGGGATGGATATTCTGTCTCCTTCATTTAAAAAAAAAACATTTTTTTTTAAAGCTATGATGTTTTAACCAAGATAGAAAGAATGGTTGTGAATATTTTCTACAAGTCAGAGAGGGGGCTTTGCCAGGGATACCATATTCACGTTTTGGACCTTTATTTCAAAGTTTGATCTATCCACTCAACTAACTGTTTCCTACATATTTTGTCTCTTTGCCATTTCACACCGGGGATATATCAAGGAACAGTCATGGCTTCCCAAATGATACAAATGAAGACACAATCCTGCCACTTCTTCCTTTCCCTGAAGTGCCCTGATTTAATGTTCCTGTTAACCCTGAATTGGTAATTAAAAGAAGGGAACACTGATCTAGTGAAACACTGTGAGATGCCAAAAAAAATGCAACTTCAAAAAGCCATGGTGCTGCCGTCTGATTAACCCTAACCCCCAGCGTGTATGTAACATCATATTTTGAAATAAAGGATTTGGTACAGTTAGGGCTAGACTTTACATGAAATAAAAGAATTTGGACCCAGAGGAACAAAGCTCTGAACGATAAATATTCTAAAGCCGTGTTCCCACCTGACTTGTTCTTCCTTGCCTGCGCAGAAACATTACCATGATTGCCTGCAGCATGCATCTTTTGGCTCTTTCCATTTGGACCCATATACAAAAAATTCTGGACTGGTAATGCCCTTAATCAGCTTACAGAGATCACTGAATCCACTAGCGGCCATTTTACCGAGCCGAATACAAAACTTGCCCGGCAATGCCCGCCTTAGTTCTCCCTGGCGTCAGTTGAAGCGAGCCAACCTGCGCATTTGTATTCGGCTCGGTGAAATGGCTGCTGGTTGGCTTCTATTTCATACAAAGGCGTTGCAGGTCCTGGTTTTTTACATACGTCCGTGTTTGGACCCCAAAAAAGTCCAATGGGAACACGGATTGACTGTAAAAAAATATTTATAAGAGGGAGCTACAAGTGAAACTTGAGAACAAATGAGCAGGTCAAGTTGAAAAGGGGTTGCAAATATCAGGAAGATGAAATTCAACACTCATGCACAGCATGTGGACAACTCATGCATGAATACGTTCAATACCTATAATAAGTTGATGACCAGAATTAGATGCCATTATACATGCATGGACTGCATTGGAACAAACGCCTTGCAGGTCCTTTCGTCTAATAGCAAGTTATGCCTTGCCAAAATGCACGTACGCCTCAAGTTTAAAAACACCTGCATGAGTGGCGCAACACTGCAGTAACGGCATTGCCTCCGATCAATCTTTACTTCCAACGGCTTTCCTGACTACAGGAACCTTGAGTGCATGACACATGTATGTCTCATTATGCACACTATATGGTGACCTAAATGACATAAAATAATAAACTATTCAGAGTAGTGGTACCGTCACACCCCTAAATGTCAAGAGAATGGAAATTCTACCCCTGCTTTGGACCGAATCGCTGAGTTTTACTAGTCATCGGGTTCATATTTCCGTAGTCGTGACCTCAAGTCCTTGATCTGATCATTCTTCTTAGAAAGCATGGACTTGAGGTTCTTGTAGGCCCCAGTCTGGCTAAACTTCTTCTCCAACTCCTGAATGGGAAACATGATATTTTGAAATTAAAAAATAAAAAAAGGAGTACCAAGGCCCTTCCACACACCTCAAAAAATCAAAAACAGGAACCAAAAGATAATGCCAAATTAACGACTGCGTGTCAAGGTTGAGAGAACTAAATGCACTGGAGGGAAAAGAATACCCAAAAATAATGAACCACAACTAAGACCTTTATCATGTTTGTATGTTAAATCTAATGCCATGGGCAATAGTGCTAGATGTAAGGGCTTAATTGAGACAGCCAATGGAATCACACAGCCAAGGTTTATGGGCAAGTAGTTATTCAAACTGTGTGTTTGCACAGTGAGATTTAATCTCATTCCCTTTGGGATGACAAAATCACTGCATCTCTTTAAAATAAATAAAAGCCAGTACCGATAATTTTAAACAAAATTTCTTGTCATGAAGTAAACAAATAATTTAAAACATTTGAATTCACAACTGTTCCCCAGTGCATCGGGGAGCCATGTTATAATTTTCCTTTTGAATGCATAGACAATGTTTCTCCAGTTTGCATCACATTTGAACTTACATGTACATGCACAGGTTCCAAATGATGCACATAGTGAACCAGAGTGTTTGCTGCCACCAAGCATCTCAATGTCTCCCACTGTAAAGTACTGATTTCATTTGCCGTAGTACCCACAAGTTGAAACATGTACATGTACACTTAACTCCTGTGGTTACCCCAAGGTGGCATAAGTCAAATATTGGAAGGTGGATGCTCAGTTTGGAGTGCAGAATTTACTCTTTGCACGCTGCCGCCATAGGCACGCAGAGCCTCGATCTGGTAGCTTGTACAATCGTGTCAGAATCGCGTCAACGCAGCTTTTTGAAAATATTGCCCAATCGCATGGTATAAGAACTAATGCAGCACGTGCAAAATGACAAAGCAACATCACGCTAATCGCTGAACCAGCTATATTTAGTGTGTAAAGCTGCCGGGTCGGGGCTCTGCATGCCTATGGTGGCAGCGTGCAAAGAGCAAATTGGTGTCTTGCCTTTTCGGTCATTTCCAGTTGTGCTTTCATCTCCAGTAGCTTGTGTTTGGTTTGAACAAGGTCACCCTCCAGGCTATCGGCCTTCTGGGAACTCATCTTGAGATTCTGTGCAGCAGTGAGCCAGATACTATTAGGTTCTGAACTGTGAATAACAGTTTAAACAGTATAGTATTTCCAGAGTGGCAAGTTAAATATTTTTTGATTGATATAACCATTTCAATTAATTACAAAGCTGCATTTGTTACACAATAATATTCACATAAGGTTTAACCAACAATAGCAAAGTGGGTCATCTAAATATCCTTATCAAGAATTTGTTTTGATGAACAACAGGTCATTTAGATTTCAAAGCAGACTCATCTTTCTTGCCACTTGATTAAAACAATAAAATGTGTGAGTGGACACATAGCACTTGAAAACATAACGAGACTTTCGATTAATCAAGTAAGAATGTATGGATGAATCCATCAATGGATTTAATAACAGAGTGACTGAATAACGCTCACTTATTAAGTATCTTTAACCTTGACATTAAAGACATCCAAGACTCTAACTTGCAGGTTGTATCTCAAACACAGCACGCGTACGCAATGGCCTCACCACAAGTTGAAATGTGTTTAGAAAACTAACCAAAGAGGAGACAGGGCAGGACAGTTTTGGAAAAGCTGAGTGATGGAGAAGCTTTACGTCTGGGATTTATTTATTGAAGACAATCAGAGTTTCATGGATATCGCTTCTCATTAAAGAAATAGGTACCCTCTCCCAATACAACCTGTCTGGCTAAGTTACATGTAAAGTTTTGCTTTTAAGAAAGGAAGGACGGAGGCCTTTTTCCTTTTTACAGAAAGTAGAGTTGAACCTCATTAATAGGACACTGTTAATACAACATTTTCCTCATAAAAGGGAAACTTTAAGGTCCCAATCCTTTGTTCTTCATTGTTTTTATTCCTCGTAACACAAGGCTCTTGTTTTAACAAAGTAACCTGCAAAGTCTGAAGGACCTCTCATTGGTGAGGTTTGATTGTGCAAGACTGTACAAAAACACATCACAAATCCAAAAAATGGAAAGGAAAAAAAATTATTAATTATATATTTTACTTGGCCTGCGACGACACGATCCCCACACAGTTTTTGAGCTGCCATACCTTCTCCATTTCTGTCTTGACGGCCGACATCTGGCTCTCCAGCTCGCTCAAGTCGCCCGAATCCTTGACCGGCTTGCGTGATCTGAGGTGGCCCAGCTCATCCTGGGTGCTGTGGAGGTCAGCCTCCAGGCGAGAGCGTTCTTGCATCGCATCAGTGGCCTGCAACAGTGGAACAAATCTTTGGATTTATTAAGATTTACAAACATATTAAAGTTTGTTGCTTGACCTGAGGCATGACACAAGTCGGCCTCAAATCCTTTGTCAAGCCAACCGCAGTCCTGAACACCTACCCTGGATTCTACTTGCTTGAGTCGTTCCTTCAGTTTATTGTTCTCCTCGTTCAGTCGTTTGATCTCTGCGTGTAGAAGCTGCTCTCCTTCGCCAGCCATGGGATCCAGACGTTTCATCTCAAACGTTGGCTTGCCTGTGACCTGTGTTTGTTAATAAAACGCAATTCAAGGTAACAAGAACAGATAATTCTACCATTAAAATTTAACCAAAGAGTAACATGAAATTAGAAAAATTCGTAAAAAAATGTCATGTCAACACTAGATGTGCTCAGGGAAGAATGCCCATAATCAGGCCTTTCACACTAGACAAATCTTGGAGTTGACGCAGAGTTGAAAACTGGTGACGATTCACACTTGTAAATTTTCAACCCCGCACCAACCCTGCATTAACCCCAAGATTAATTTCAACCCGGGTTGATATCAACCCTGCTGCGGACCAGGGTTGAGAATTTCCAACCCAGGTTGAAAATTTTTTGTGCTCATTTCCGGGTTGAACTCACCCCGATAAGCTCAGTTTGCAAGAAGCAAGTGTGAAACAACACCGGACTGAGCACAGGGCTGAAAAATCCAATTTTCAACCCAGGGCGGTCATGGGTTTGCCCAGGTTTGAGTTCAACCTGGGTTGACAGGTTGTAGGCCTCTAGATGTTCCAATATTGCTGCCTTATTTCCTTATGTTGAGTCTTTACATCTTATATGTCTGCGCTCATTTTCAGACTAACTTCGTGAAAATTGCAAGATCTGCTTTCATGACAATCCACTTTTCTGAGCAGGGTACCGACAAATTTTGCTTTCACTGACAGTGCAAAAAACAAATGTTGACGCAAAGAATTATGAGTTACTTCGCTTGTTTGGGTAAAGCTGGGATGTCATGGACCAGATTCCCCCCCCCAAAAAAGTCAATGCATGGCCAAGAACCGTCACCATCTTAAGACGTTAAAAACCAAAGACAACAAAGCGAATGAACAAAAAATGGCTCTGTTCTACTGATCTACCAATAATCTATCAATCCATCTCATGCACAACACAGAACACTTACAGCTTTCCCAGAGAATTGGCTTTCCTCAAAATCTGCAATCATTTCAATTAGCTCTCTGGAAGTAAAAAAAATTAACATAGCACAAGTGAATAACTGGATGAAGAAGAACGGCAGTATTTTTTCAGTCTAGAAACACCAATATGTTAAAGCATCAAATCAGTTAATTATTCATTTCAATCTACAAGTAACTGCAAGTTGGTGTTTTGATATTAAAGTAAGGAATACAAACAATTCCAAAATTCAGGGACGTCACGTGAAACATCTCAATCTATTCAAGCTTATTAAGTCATCTACACAGCCATCAACCGAAAGCTCTTTTCTCAAAAGTCTCTCTGCCATTCGAGTACTACGCTTCCTCTTGCATGGCTATTTGACTTTTCCTCATTTGTGTATGGAATCTCGGCTTTGTTTAACTGATGATTTCTCCCTCGACTGTGGCGGCAACAGTTGGAAAAATTGGTTGGGTAGTCATTTTCCACAGCAAAGGAAGTTTACTCAAACCTTGTAAGTACGAATTTGGGGATTGCAGAAATAGCACACATTTCTTTGCAAGTGCGAGAATTGTTGGTTTTTTGTACAAAAGAGTGAATGTAAGAAAGGAATTTTGCAGTTAGCCGAGTCATGATGCTAGGTCTTACAGGGTTTTCCTATTACCTGTTTTCCAATTCCGATATGTCGGCCATGAGCTTCAAGTGCCATTTCTCGGCTTGCTGGAAGAGCTGACGCAGCAGCAGAACATTGGTGTGAGCTGTGTTGATCAATTCTGACTCTACCTCACCCCGGACCACTGCCTCCAAGCCATCTAGCATGTCGTTCACTTCATCAGCAGTGAACGTGTCCTCTGTCAACCTAGGACAAGAGGAAAAATCGTCCATGAAAAGATGACACTCAGGGGTTTGATCAGGACTGGGCAAAGCACCGGACTATTAATGTCAGGAACAAGTTCCAATGATTGGACTGGAAACCTATAACCAGTACTGTAGTCAAGACCCCACAAGGACATCACAAGACCATCACAAGATGCCACAAGATCTCACAAGACCACACAATACCATCACAAGACCAGCACAAGACGTCCATTCAGATTTCAAGCCTCATGCTATTCAAATGAATTACAAGAAAAGCATTCCTTTGTCACGCTTACCTTGTTACTTTTGATTGGTCTGGTGACTGGTCTTATGACTGATCTTGTAACTGGTCTTATGACTGATCTTGTGACTATTCTTATGACTGGTCTTGTGACTGGTCTTGTGACTGGTCTAGTGACTGGTCTAGTGACTGGTCTTATGAATGGTCTTGTGACTAGTCTTGTGTCTGGTTTTGTGTTTGGTTTTGTGTTTCGTTTCATGGTGGTCTCCACAACAGCACTGCCTTGTAACCTCTACCACTCAAAAATGTTGGGGGGCTGTTTATGGTAGGTAAGCATGTGACCATTACAATTTAGATGTGATCCTCAGAATACAAGAATGAAATATTTTAAGAGGAAAAAAGTCCCATTCTTTATTTCATGTTTCAAATTTACTTTTTGTTCTGGAGCGCGCGTTGACAGCTGAGCGAGTCCATCACAAGGTCAGTCGTAAGTCCTTTAGCAAGCACTATCAGAAAAAGCTGACTGAACAGCGTCAGAGGTGAGCTTAAGTTTTGTAACGGTTCGTTTGAATAGTACTGGTAGCTTGTGACTTGGTTCAGGACTGGACGACTCATGACAGACTTGACGTGTGACGGACTTGCAGGGATTTGTGATGGACCGGGCTACAGTCCCAATGAAAACTTGGTCAGGTCTTCTGTCTGGCAGGTCATGAGCCAACATACCTGCTGTCCTTGAGGTCTTGGAAACACCCTTCCACCCCTCGGAGATTCTGGCTGCGTTTGTAGCGACTGAACCTCATGTAATTGACCAGGGATTCCTGATGGTGGTCGTTCACTCCTAACTGACTGGCCTGCCGATGGAAGACAAAGACACAGAAGAAAAACAAAAGCATTTTAAGATCTTGAGAGGTTGATTCAATATTGCCTAGCTTGCTGGAATGATTTTGATATTGATAATCACACTATAACAGAAAGTGACAACACTTCAAAGGAATATGGACAAAAAAGATCCAGTTTTTTCACCAGTTCAACAATCAAGAATAACTTGGTGCAGTAAATGAAGACCAGTGTTGAGACAACAACATAGACACTAAAATTTCATGAGCAGTCATGAGAGTAGGCGAGTTTCCGGTGTTTACGGGGGCTTTGACTGTAGGTTCAAGGATAACATGTAGAAGGGGTCCTTTTGGAGGTGCCTTGGTTTCCAGGAGTTGCTAGCGCCTACAATCGTTTGAACCATTTGCCTTTGACATGAATGCTGACGTGAATGGGCCTACCCAAGTCGAACCCCACTTAGACAAAACTGACGGCTGTTTCGTGTCACGTCACAGAGAGCAAGCCGCACTACATGTTTAATAATTCACCGCAAGTGGTATTTGACTGGACAGGGAACTAGCCAAGGGAGGTGTTGCACATTAGCTGCGACAAAAACGGCCGTAATTTTCCACGAATACTTGGATCAACAGGTGCTCTCGTGGATTGAACAAAATTCGTATGTGCTGAAGTCTGGGTGCAAACTAGACAGGCTCTCTGTACAGGCTGCCATCACTTAACCATACAAAGGAGGCTGTGTAATGTGCAAGTCAGGCCAAAATTCATCCCATGTGGGGAAAATGCCAACTGAAGGCAACATTTTTCCCTCAAAATGAGGGAAAGGGAGTCTTCAGCAAAGAGCAACCTGGGGGATAGTTAGCCCTGTAAGTAGTGAACATACCGGTGCAATTTCAGCTCATAAAAATCCAGTGGATGTCTAATAATATCCCCGGACATGCCGGATGAACTTGACTGAAAGAGAGATTACTATCAATCAGTTCAGGGCCCAGTATCAATGGAGTACACGTAAATGTAGGGCCCTGTTTACAGGCCTAAACCCCACCACGCCCACAGCATACTTCCAGAACTGTAAGGTTTATACGAACCTTGCAAATAGCCATGTGCAAACTCCCATAAACACATTTTGTTTGTTTTGATTGTGCCAACTTACCCTTCCATCACAGAGTTTGTGCAACCAAATTTCAAACATGCCTTCTTGGTGAAGTTAGACGTCAGATGGGGAGGTTTATTCACCTTATATCTTCATTAAAATGGAGAAATTCATGAGCATTTTTCAGAAAATCAACAGCAGGTACTCTCAGTAACTGTCAGCTGTTTGACAGCTCGCCCAATCACAACACAGCTCCTATCTTTTCGTTTTGTTTTCCTGACCCCATCCAAATGAAAGCTGAGCTATGACTGGTTATCGGAATGGAAGCAAATTGTACTAATCACAGTGTGGCTTTCATCTGTGGGTGACAACAATCAAAACAACCAAAAATGTGTTTATGGGACTTTGCACAATGCTATCTGTTAGGGTTGTATAAACTTTACAGTTCTGGAACAGAAAAGTACCCACACTCCACAGCACAGTCGTGACTGAGGCATGTGGGAGTAGGGCCTGAACTTCTGAAGTGACTGTTAATTGATTCATGGCAAAATACGACACAAAAGATAAATCAGAGTAACTATTGAATACAGGGCCACCCCCTAAAATCACTGGATACGATATTGCATTGGATGGGAGTGACTCTGGCATGTCTGGGGAGAAGCTTAGAAGTCCAAATCGAGTACCCAGTTGGTGGCCACGCGGCTACGATATCGAAAGAGTTCTTGTGAGAACGAAGCAACACAAAATGAATGGAGATGGTCGAAAAAAATCTAAGTCCAAACCGAGTGGCCCTGTATTCTATAGTTGTACCGATAAATAAGCTAAAAGCCTGTTCCGTAATGAAAAAAACTAATTTAATTTCATAGCATACCATGATTGGAATTGATGTTTTTTACGCATGAAATGTTGGACACCGATCGAAGAAAAATCGGCGATCGTTTACGCCGCAACTATGCCTACCATACGGAAAATCATACCTAGACGTCCTAAGTAAGTTTCCTTACATGAAGCCGTTAGGTGTACATACGAAAAACAAAGTCAATAAAGTAGAGGGCGCTATGACTGGAGAGCGGAAAGCCAGCACTGCCGTGTCGCATCGGGGTGTTGTCCACTAATTCAGGCTCCAATGAAAATAGTGTAAAATCAGCATAGTTCGGGGCCCAATAATATGCGTACCAACATCACTGAGGCATCTGAAACACACGTTAAATCATTGTATGGTCCATAATCTTTTACTTTCTTTTCAATTTTCTGTGGGTTAACCGATTACATTTTGAGATATTCCCTCTGAACAAAATTACCCTCAAAAAGTGATTTTTTCCAAAGTCTGCTTGCAGCAATTTTTCAAGTGACAACCCTCAACTTTCTCGAGCACTTCGGAACATTTTTCAACATTATCTTTAAAGCCTTGCGGCTTTTAGATGAAAGCCCAAAGACCCAGGGTGTTGTTTCTGGCAAAGATTTGCACAATCTCACCATTTTGGGGGCCATACAATCTCCTTTTTCAAAAGATACTGTGGTGGCACTTCTAACGCTAATGAGCTGGCCAGAAATTCTCGTTTGAATTAGTGGACTGCATCCATCGTTGTGCTGTCGCATCATGATCATCGCATTTGCAATGTGTAGGCCTGTTTTGTTTGTTTGTTTGTTTGTTTGTTGGGTTGTTTGTTTTTTCTTCTGTTGTTGTTGTTGCTTTTTTTTTTGCTGGAGAGGGTGCACACCGAGCTGAAGAACATCATTGCACGTATCATCAACTTTCGTTTCCTTGACCTGCTAAAATGGTATCAATTACCTACTTTTGAAGTTCACGACCTTCCCTTCCGCGCGGCTTATGAACAATAAACCGAGTGGCATCTCCAGTGGCCTATCTCTCAAGACATTTTTAACTCGTGGAAAATTTCACGTTTTGTTCACGAGGACACACTTCTTTATTTCTTGGTCCTCGAGGTGCCGATGAGAAGCCATGAAAAAAATAATAAAAATAAATTATTTTATTGCATGTCCCCGTTGCTCAGAAAAATTTGATGAAATAGATTTGAAATGAATTTTTTATTTTTATTCCGACCACCGTTGAAGCAGTGCCACCATTCTCTATTTTTTTAATCTGTCACGTCTTTTCATTTCCAAAATAATTTTTCCTTTTTTCTTCCTCCGCTCTTAAATGTGGCAACTGATATTTTGAGGAACGAAAAATAAATATTTATTGATTTTTTTTCGCCTTCCAAGGAATAAACAATTCTAGACTGAGGAACATTCCTCTCAAACACCTGTTCAATACCTGCAATGCACACCATGTCAAATTTCCACTATACATTTGTCTATCTGTCTATCTCTGATCCTCATGGTTATACGCTTGGGTCCATCCCCATAGTGACGGTAGTTTATGTGGTCAAGAGTGCCACAAATTTCAGGATAGGTGTAACTTGCTCCAAAATAATGGCAGACTAGCTGACAATTATGTCAAGGTGAATAGTTAAATCATATGCAAATTTTGAAAAAAATCGTTAAATGTGAAGTGGGGGAAAGTTGCAAGACAAACTAATTCATAATGGGAAGTAATGGACTGCTCAGGAACTGTTACATGAGTCATGGAGTGAAAAGTGGCATCATGTGAGTGAGTAACGACACCACTTCCTCACAATACGATACATATCGCGATACTTGGGTCGCGATACGACACGTATACGCGATAGGGCTGCATCAGCTAGTAGGGGCCTTTACTCCCCAGGTTTCAGGAACTAGAGTCCGATATGAATCCAGTTCTCATGACACCGAGATCTGTGTAAAGGCCGCATCCACGTTGCACACCAGACCGTAACTTTTGCGTTCCAAGTTGTCAGGTACGTGCGGCGAGTTCTCCCTGATGCTATAAACCCGTCCAAATTTCTTGCAAGAGGATAGGCGTCATTAAAAATAAAGAGCGATATATCTTAATTTTGTATTATGCCAAACTTTATATTCAACTTACTGCACATTTATCCTAATTCCCCCCCCCCAATATCGCGATTCACATTTTTGTATCGCGGTGCCGTATGGAGGCATTTTAGAATCGCGATTATCGATGTATCAGTGAATTTGCAAAGCGGGGGGGGGGTTGCACCATTATGACTCTATTGATGTATGTCTGTAATATGTATTCAGAATGGCATATTTCTGGCTTTCTAAAATTGTTCCCGTTTTGGAATGATATTGAATGCATTTTAATCGGAAGTCTGAAAGATTCTTCACAATCCACTTTAATTTTTTGCTCACCACAAAAATGTTGGGGGTGTGATGATTCATCTAGCACACACACCCCTCCCCAAAGTGGGGGGATCTATACCCCCACACCCCCACCATTTTCACCCGTGTTTTATTAAGTTGCCAATCAAACACACTCCAATCTGTACAAGAGTGGCGTTCTGAATAGCTGAGATACGTACTTTTGCTGATATTTCTGTGTGTAGCTAGCTAAATACAATTATCCACTGAATTTCACGAGTAATTGTACTGATAACCGATTCCGTTCGATAACGAGGGCCTGATTTATTGGGGAAATAGAATTCATTATTGACTTCAAAGAAATCATTTTCATTATGTCAAAATGCCAAGTATACTCGAACCAAATGAGCTTTAACGAATTCGTTGCATGATTATGTGTTTTCGAATATTTAAATTAAATACCAGAATTGAAAAAATGCTCTAAATAAATTTGAATCAGATTTAGGTTCCCCCACAAAATGTCTTGATATTTCTCCTTGATATCTCTTTATGATTATTTTTGTAAAGCTTGCATTTAAAAAGATTATAGATTTTAATTTTTACATTTTGTATACTTTGCTTTTCTTGTTTTTTTATATCTGTATGAAAAATTGCCGTTACAACAAAAATTTCTTTAGCTGATATGTTAAGCGACTTTAGTAAGAAGGTAGGCCTAGATGATGACGATAAAAAGATTTTGAACAAAATAGTATAATTACCGGGTATGATCGTGACTAAGATAAGAAATAAGTGTAAGCAGAAAAGGCGAATATATGTTACTTGTGGCGAGATCTGAACTAAGACTGAAGCTTTTTAACGAAATAGGGAAAGGCTTTAAATTTGTTTGAATGATACCACTCTATATGTATCCATCAACAAATTCTTAAAAAAAGTAATACTCTACTTGAAATTAAAAATCAAATAGAAAAATAATCTATTTCAAAATTGCCTCTTGTTATGATAATTATGTAAGTTTTAAAAAGAGAAGACTTTATGTCGAAATTAGTAATTAGTTGTCACAGTTATTGGACGTTAGGCTCAGAAAGGGGTCTTAATTTTCACGAGCTTACGCTGTTATTAATACACACAGTACATGTACACCCGAACGTAGGTCGGTCATTTATCAATTAGACAACTTTGGTAAGTCGCTGCAGCATATCTCTTTTAACGTAATTTTAGTGAAGACAGATTCTTCAGACTCATTTTTGCAAACAAATCTTATATACAATCAAAATATGATACGAATGCACTGCAAATAATCTTTTTAATCTTTTAATATTCTATGGTAAGCATAATGTTTAAAAATATCGTTGATCGAAGGACTTAGTGCAAGTTTATTACATCCGGGCACGTTGCATTCGTGGATATTCATTCAAGATGGCTACGCAAGGTGAGCATGTTTCCCGCAAAATTTTTGCAACCCGATGTTTGTTCTTTTCACTGTGAAATTATTGTTCTTTCTAGATTTTATGCATGTATGGGAATGTTTAAGAAGTAGTTGATGCATACAACATATCATTGTCTCCTTTTGTTTTTTTTTAAAGCCTAAATTACTCGCAACGAATTGCGGAGATACGGCCCCAGGTTTTTAATGGTTTTGTCACGTCGCCACCAGCCTATTCCGTGGCATGTTCGTGTGTAATTGCTGCACTGCTGGTGCATGGCGTAGACTGCTTGCCTCGTGGGCAAGCAGAACGGCACTTAATTCACGTGCGGGTTCTTCACGTGTTCTTTTCAGGGAAGCTGTGCCAGCTGGTACTTCTAAGTTGTAGGGAGTTTGACGATTTTAGTCAGTTAGTTAAAGAAGTTGTTTACTGTTTTGATATTCAAAGTTGAAACGAGAACACCGAGAACCACTAAGCAAAATGGAGGTTTGTTATTTGATTTAACGAAGTGGCTATCATTACAGCAGTCGTAACACATTTCTCATTTTCTATTGTTACGACACTGAACTGCACAAGTGTGATGACGTAGCTGATCATCACGATGGTTTATATTTTAAAATTACCTGGATCACTGAATGCTTGTGGCCGAGTGGTCAAGGTGGAAGGCTTAGAACCACTGGTGTGTGAGTTCGAATCCGCACTTGGCCCATTTTATTTTTTTTCGCCTAAATTTCATGTTTTATACCATACATGTAATCGTTTTTTTATGTTGGTTTTTAATTGTATAGGCCTAAGCAGGAATCTTTTTTCTTTTCTTATCGGAGGCTTTGGAGGATTTTTTAAAGAGAAATAAAGTCTGAAATCTGCACTTAAGTTGGCGCTTGTGCAGTTGCAGTGCCATAATGATAGAAAATGGGAGATGCGTTACGGCTGCCGTAACAACAGCCATGGCATTGATTTAACCCCTTCACGGTGGGATTATTTTGACTGCGACTGCTGGGCTGTGGTGGTATGCCCTGAATGGAGGGCTTTGTCCAGCAGCAGGCCCCATTGAACCAGCAGCTGCATGGTGAATAGACTGTATGTGTGGTATGCACTAATCCTAACACAATGGTGCGTAGTAGCAGTCCTCCGTAGCGAAGGGGTGAACCCCTTCTCAGCAGGAATTTCTTTCCGAAAGCCGACTCCAAGAATTCCAGCCTCGCTTGGCCACGAAGGCCACGAAGGCCACCTGCCAAATCACAAATTCTCGGTTTGTGGCCCAGCGTGCTTTGCATGCTTTGAATTACACAGTGAAATTACATGGTGGCATGCGGCTCTACTCAAGCTTCCACATTCCCGTTGCCTCTTTTCAAAGTGGGGAATATTGTGAAGCTGGTGATTATGATGCAAATTGGGTCTTTTTCATTTCTGGGCTACTCACAAAGACCAATTACCATATACACAAGAGCCAGGGTCTGCCTCCTTCCACAGTGTTCGCTCGAGCATGGGCCGAGAATAATAGCTGAAAAGCGGGCTGAGAATCTCAATTTTTACGGCGTGTCTTAATGCGTCCCGGCGTAAAGGGGTTGAATAAGCATGATAAGCTGATAAGGGAATAAATATGTCACATTGTAGGCCTACGCCTAGTGCTTGGCTGGTCTCAATGTAGTCCCAGACTGGGGGTCAGTCTCGTACTGGACTACCTTTGTATCCTGCATGTCCTTGGCTACCTCCAGAAATGTTGGGTCTGACGTCAGCTTCTCTCCCACACGACGAACTGCGACCAAATTGTTGACTACGGCTGCGATCGATACACAAGACATGGAAATTGGCTACAGCCATGTTCCGTATATTGTGTGTGCAATTCTTAGCCGCGCTGGTTGAAATGGCAGTTGGCTGCGGCACGCTGGGGGGTCACACTGACCAATCATAGGGTTCCTCATTATTTATGTCCAAATTGAAGGAAGACGAGCAACAGCCGTTGGGTGCTCAAAGCCACTCAACAGGAACCGTTCACTGTGCAACAGCGCGCTCACGTCCACTGGTCGATTGGTGATACATATGCCGAGCAGGACGGCAGCTTTTGCGAAAGATGAGGTCCGGATAATACAAGCTAATTTAGTAAGTCCCTAGGCCCTCGTATTAGCGAGAGTCAACTTTACATCACGGTCAAGTGACTTGGTGTATTCCCACACACGTTACAGGTAACAAATCTATTTTGTGGTAATTTTTAAGTAGAAAGTGAAATTAACAAAAAGAATGAAAAGAAAATTTTAAGATCAACAGTGTATTTAAGATCATTTAAAGGTAATTTTTAGGTTCATATCACCATCTGCCCCCGCATCTTTAATTTACATTTTTTTCTCTCTCTTAAAAAAAATTCCAGACAAAAACATTATGAAATTGAAAGAAATTGTCCCAGTTGTCATAATTTTGAATTTCCAGTAAAACAAGGCCATAATCTTCCTGGATGTTACCAGGCAGCACAATTTCTCAATTTTGTGTTATCTATGAGCGCATAAAAAAGAGTGTAGTGCAACCTTAACAACACTCACAGCCCTGCCAAACAACTCTCACTGTGCAGTGAAACAACTCTCACCGCGCAGTGTGCGCACTTCCGCGTTTGAAAACGAGGCTGTATGTGTCAGCTTCAATTCCTAATACGATCAGACGATTGAAAGTAAGGAGTTAAGACACAAAATACACACAGTTATGTTAAATTCAGACATTTCAGGCTGCAAATTTTTGGTGAAGAGCCTTTCAGAATAACTTGACGCGTGAAATCAAAGGAAAAAACAATGGCAATTTACCGTGAACTAACGTACCTGCGATGGCCGTGTATCTTGTGCAGTGGGCATGGTTTAAACTGAAGTGGTATCATACTTACGAACCGGATACTGCATGTACTGTGTCGACTCCGCGGGCGTGCGCGACGAAGTTCAACACAGAGAGCCTCAGTTTCGATGCAGATATGCGCAGACGGGGCTAATGTGAAATCCATCTATATGTACTTGGCTCACATGTGGTGCGTTCTGCCATGTCGCTTATAGACTATTGACCGATAGGGATGGATCAAACCGTCTTGTATCCAGGTGCCTGTCCATTTTTTAAGCAGCGGGCATTATTAAATCACAGCGGACATTAGCAAATGTTAATACACGGTCAAGCTGTGCGTTGTTGAATTAGCAAACTGTCTGGGGTATTTATGAATTAACTTTAACCCTAACCCCCCAAGGGTTGCTGGCCCTAACCTTCCCCATTCACACAAAGTTGAACACCCATATGGGATTTTGTGCACAGAGGCTGCTGGACTTTGTTTTTCTGAGGTATGCCAAACCCAATGCAAAATCCAGTTGTTATTGGCTTACCAGACCTATCCCCACAGAATTGGTTGGGAAAGGTTAGGGTTAAATCATTTTTATCGTGCCAAAATTTGTCATTGAAAGTTGAATGTTCTTTTTTGTGTGATGATTTGTCCCCTGGTGAGCAGTTGGCCAGGATACAGAGTTTTCCTCCAAAAAAGGTATCAAGCACAATTTGAGTTCTCAATGTGATCAGAATTCTGTCCCCTCCCCCATGAACTGAGTGTACGTATTCCTGTCGTGACAAGCAATCCCTGTGATATTGAGGCAGTAGGAATGACATCCTTGAGCAGTGTAGATAGTTTCAAATATAACCGAGGTCGGAATTTACGCTTGAATGAGCATAAATAACACAAGGTTTGGCCCAAGACTTTGACACTAATCATTCTTTAAAATCAGCCAGCCATTTTTCCAGTCTCAATCCGTCCAAATCTTCCCAAACCACTCAGAGGATTTCATAGAACATGGAGGATGGTTAGGGATGACGTATAGTCATGAAAGTACTGGAGATGCTTGCCTATTTCAGCCTCACTTTCAACTTTGTTTTTTGGTCGCACAGCAGCAAGCAAGAAGAAGAAGGTGAAGGGAAAGACGATCAATCTCAATGACTTCTTGTCCGATGGGACCGGCAATGCGCCGGGGACCAGCTATGTCATGGCTAATAAGTCATGGGCGGAGCGGACCGACGAGGCAGAGGGTAGGTGCTTATCACTTTACCACCTGCTCACTGACGTAAGCCCTTGACAGAGGTCTGAGAACAATCCACACAGTGAGCTGTGGTTATCTTGCTCTTACACCACATTTGTAAAAGAAAGGAAACCTAGCGTACTGCATTGTACTGCCCCTAAAAAAAGGAAAAAAGGGCAAAGTGTCGTCTGTGTTGGTGTAACTGCTGCTTCTGTGTGTGTTAACTTTCTTTAACAGACATAAGCATGTCATTTACTGAGTCTAAACCGCTGCCCAGTCGAGCTGCATTGCCAACAGCCCCTCGCAGTGCCCAGCCGGCTCAGATAGATTACTCCAAGCTGCCAGAGAAGCCACCCTACACTGTCTATCTCGGTAACATCCCGTTTGATGCCGATGAAGGCGATATCACCAACTTCCTAAGGAACTGCAGTGTAGGTATTAATTGGCAAGTGTGACTTTTATCCTGGCAT